AATATTAATGAAAGAAAAGTGATGTGACTTTTTTGTAGTTACTTTAATCGTTATACTTTGGGATGATTGTTAGCTTAATTTAGGTACTTATATTCTAGGACATTACTATTACCTGGAACTAAGGAAAGCTTAATTGTAATAAAAATAATATCTTAAGTTACATCCTTTGATCTTGATTAAGCAAAATAAAGATAACTTTGGTATCTACCTCTGAATGCATTATTTTATAAACGTTAATGAAGGTGTCGTGATATTTATTTTATTAGTAATTGCTCGGTTTGATTCCCGCTACATCTTTTCGCTATCGTTCCACGCGAAAAAATGTTCATCCCCATCACATAGATTGTTGGCAGTCAACAACTGTGCGATTTTCGCGTAATTTTCTGCCCCGCACAGCAAAGCTTTGGAATGATCTTCCGGCGGCGGTATTCCCGAACCGATACGACCTTCAAATCTTCAATAAACGAGCGTACTCCTTCTTAAAAGGCCGGCAACGCACCTGTGACTCCTCTGGTGTTGCGGGTGTCCATGGGCGACGCCGATCGCTTACCATCAGGTCATCCGTGTGCTCGTTTGCCACCTATTCCATAAAAAAAAAATTTAGAACCTAACGCAGGTGGTCACAGAATATACGGTATTGTGCTTTGTAATTAATTAAAATGAAGAATGTTCTAGCCTAGTTTACTCATAAAATATTCTCTTTTTGTAGCCAGGATAAATCTGCGGGGCTTTTTCCTTAAAATCATAATATGCACCAGTTTTTTGCGCGATGTTCATAGAGCTTGCTATCTTTGCAGCAGATTCCCGAGGAATTTTATAATGTCTTAGAGCTGGCGTTCCGGTTTGTGTTCTTTATTACTGCGCTGAACTTCTTTTGCTCTTGTTTTCTTAAAACCCTATTCCTCATCTTATTCACGTTTACGTTTTAAACTTACACCTACCTACAAATACATTTTACTATAAATAATATATTATATATGAATATAATAATTCAGAACTACCTAAATAAAATTGTCCTACTGGTGGGCACGAAAATGTATACAAATTAGGATTCTCTTAACTCATGTTAAACTTAAAATGAACGTATTCACAAACAGTCGTTTACGTTATTATGTTCGGTACGAAGACCTAATCTGAAAATGGTAACGTTATTATTCATATCTTAAAAAACGTTGGTTTAATTAAAGCTTGTTTAATTACGCCGATATTTCTGCGGAGCGAACATTTTGTTGGGCAATAAGTCTTGGCTAATTGTTTGAAAAGATAATTTCGTGGCGGTTTATTGTGCGATGGGTGGGCACAGGCCGGGACGGCACCCCGGGACGGCCAGCCGCCCAACCCGACACTCACATATGCCACTAATTACTTATTTACTTGTTCAAGATACGAGCGCCTAAAAGTTAAGTAAATAATAGCCGTAATGACTTTGTTTGTGCTGGGTTCTTACAATGGCAACTGTTTGTTTATCCTGTAACCGCTAACAACACCCCTGCAACATGCAGGGGTGCCTATTCTGCATGTTTTTGAATAGCTTGTTGCAAATAAGGAATTATAATGAAATATTGAAATAATCTTAAATAACGGACTGCATGGTCGCGTTTACTCTATGGTTGCAATCGCAACTTTTTAACAGAATCTGGTCTTATAATTTCGAATTTAGAAATCTTAAGTATTAATAAGCGTACTGAATTTGTTATTAAGTAATTGCCGCCATGATTTTAACGTCCGTTCCTGCCTAGTTGTAGCAATGGAGTGAACAATAGGTTTGATGTTTTTTTTTTAGTTTAAATTTCTTACCCATAGAAAGTACGACGAAAGTGTTACTAAATCCAAGGCTTTAACCAACTATCTCGTAATACGCAATCGTGAGACATATTTAATATGTAATATATATTTAATTTCGTAATGGAATTGGTAGAAAAGCTTTAAAAATGTAAAACAAAAATATGATAAAGTGTTCGATACCATCTATCGTAGATTTTATCACTAAAATTATTAAAATCATAAATTATTTTTTATGTTATGTAACAAGAAGAAAATCATTAATTCGATTTGATCACTGTAATAGATTATTCATTATACTACCTTAGACATATTTATTTATAGTCCTATGGTTGGTTATTGTGTGAACATTTCAGCATCACAAATTAAGATGTATGTGTCGCCATCTAGCGTACATAGTTGGAAACACTTGATTACTTCATTGATCTGACACAATCGTGTGTCTTATTAAAATACATTTTATTTCTGTGAAGAATAAATGGAAAAGTTAACTAGGTACTAAATGTTCTTGAAAAATATACAATTACTGAAAATACCAACATGGATTTATCTACTATATTTGGAGAACAGAAAACTGAACTAATTTAACAGATCACGTCGATCACACTTCTCCTAACGAACGAACTAATATATCTTACAACATTTAAAATCTTTATAAGCACAAATATAGACCGTATAAATTACGTTTTTTGCGTATTTTCTAAGATCTAAAAATAATAACCTAACATCTTGAGAACCATAAATAAAAAGAAACTTAATTCAATTTGCGCACAGTAAATCATTCTATTACAACTTTAACTTCTTATTACTAAATTATTAGTGTATACTTAGTATCGTCGACACATGAAGCCATCCCGTGTACTCGAGTAAATGGTTGTAATTAACGTATTTGTATTTTATAAGTTTTAATTGCGTGAACGCATAATGTATGGAAATATATGTAGAGTGAGGCATGGCGTCGGAGACTTTCAGTGGCCTCTGGAGTGCTGCCAACGATTCGTCTGGTGGTTATTTTCGCACGTCATCCACGAATAACAAGACATCTACCGATTCAGTCTTGTATCTACGAGTTATAGTCTATGAAAAAAACTACGCGTATAAAAAATGGTTTACACTAAAGTTTGTGACGCACATGTTATCATTCATACAGCACGTTTCTATTATATTCATACAAGCCTGTTCTTACATTCAACTTGAATAAAATCACTAAACCGAATTGCACGCAAGTAACTCTATTAAAATGCCCTTTGTCTAGTATTCATTATCCCCCTGTCTAGTTTTAAATTCTTTTGTTGCTCGTAGTCGCTGCATGGATGCATGAATAAATTGTTTTTGAGAGTCGAACGTACCGAACAAACTGGTAGGTCAAGATCCCTTTCTCATAGAAGACTCTTTTGTGTGATAGTAAAAGGCGTTCACTATTAAAGGGCGCGGATCGGGTAGAATCTTGATTTGTGGGTAATTATTATTTAATCTATAGCTGTGACTGCTGTGAGCAATGTTGGTTTCATTTTGTTGAAGGGACGAAGCACAGTTGTGTCGGTGAGCTCGGCAGCACGGAGATAGTTGGTGGGCGCGCCCTGTACGCACAGTACTCGAGTACTGCGAGCTGCGAATGCTCCTGATCGTAATGCGTGCGCGCTGTCATTGCCCTAGTCCCGCCGCTGCCCCCTCGCCTCTTGAAACAATGAACGGAACCTGGTTAATGATCGCCCTGTTTTTGGCGTTCTTTTAAATTTTACCTTTGATGATTGAATATTCAATGACAATTTAAAAAGTAATATATTCCATTCATTTAAATTCCATATGCGAGCCATTGGTATTTTCGTCATGTTTCGTATAATGTTAACAAACGTATCTAGAGAAACTTGTAAAAATGTATCTTACATAAATTATTTCTGAAAATATTACAAGACTATTTCCGTCTTTAGTTACTTACATTTAAACACGATATTGCTTCAATAATCAATTTCAATACAAGTTACATTATGAAACAAGACAAAAAGTTAAGACTAAAAATAATACAATAACATATGACACATTTTTCATCATGACGATTATTTCTGGATATATTAATATGAGAATCACCAGAGATATTAATAAATCATACAACAATATAATAAATCATATTAAATTTATAGATCTAATTTATGGACTTGGTTGCTTAAAATTAACAGGGCTATCGATTACACGAATTGATACTAATTAATAAACTGATACAAAATAGATAGTGCGTTTTGTTTCGACATCTTTTACTTACTGTCGATTCCTTCTGGAAATAAAACAACAAGGCACCAACATACAATATTATTTGAGTAACAGATTTTACGTATATGCGCGTAATAAAAAAGGTTAGGCACACATTGAAAAAAGTGGGTTCAGTAAAACAATATAACTAAAAGTAAGAAACAATGTAATGACCAAATAATATAGTTATATTGGTAGCATTGTTCGGCGAGGGCACGGGCGTCCATTCAGCCGCGACCGATCCGCATAATGAGATGCAGTGCTCCTCCAGATGTGGCGCAGGCGCGGCTCCAACGCGCTGCCATTTTTTGTTTCCCCTTTTTTGCCGTCCACTCACCACATAAACGGTTTAGCAATGCCGCTTACTTACACATTATTCCATTTCCAACACTGAATTATCTTGAGGAACTAAAACAAAGCGTTAGTACAAATACAAGCCCTGGAAAAAATTTCAATTTCTATTTCCGAATATTAAAATTAATGTCAAACACTGAATAGTCAAAGAATTGTGGTTGGATGCTAATTTGAAATATTTTACAGAAAATATTCTTTTCGAGATTGTTAACAAAATCCGATCATTTTACATTTGTTTGTTTAACATAAAATTAAACAAAATTTAAAGTACTGAAACAACACTAAATTATAAGTAAACGGCATCATTCAAATTAACGAAAAATAATTATAATTTTAATTAGTTCAAATAAATACCTCGAGTTAATATATTTGCTGAATATATTTACTCTTGTCTACACCTACACATAATTTAAAGTTAGGAGTGGAATTGTAAGCTCCGGGCTGCGTTAGCCTCGCGTTTATTTATGTTGCCTTAGTCAGAACTGTTACCTACGCCAGATGTTATTTTACGACAGTTCGCCACCGAATAAACAATCTCTCCTTTTTCTTGGTTTTATTACCCACAAAACTAAAATTGCACACGTACCCATTCGTTCCGAGAGATAATTTAAGTCTTAGGGCCTCGTTCACCATCTCCAAGTAAAGTGTTGATTAGTTACTTCTCAATTAACGTTAATCAGCAAGTAAAGGTTACGAGTATCTTTTGTCGATTTCACAAACGAAAAATAAGCTCCGAGTAACAACTTGCTGGTTAAGTGAGTAACGTAACAAATCATACGTCACATTCGTTCAATATTACGTCAATGTCACTCGTCAAACGTCATTGCAGCTGTCATTTGTGCATTGTTGTTTGTTGTAGTAGTGGATTGTCTGTTCGGTTGGAAATATTAACTTGTGTGATTTTAATTTCTTAAGTTATTAAGTACTTACGTATTTAATTATCATGGATAAAGTTAAAAGAGATAGAAGTGCAAACTTTTCGTTACATGAGAGAGAAATTTTAGTATCACTTGTACAAAAATACCATGCTGTGCTGGAGAATAAACAAAGTGATGCTTCGACGTGGAAAATGAAGGAAGCCGCTTGGGAAAGCATTCAAAATGAATTTAATGCTCGATCTGGAGGCATATTTAGATCGACCAAAACGTTAAAGGTCAAATATGAGGGCTTGAAACGTACAGTCAGGAAAAAGTCAGCTGCATGTCGCTCGGAACTTTACCGTACCGGAGGTGGTAAGAACACAGCTCCTCCACTCGATAATGTGGAAGAACAAATTAAAGCCATGATAACGTTAAGCGCCGATGGCTTGGAAAGTATTTTCGACTCCGATGTATTGCCACAAAATCAAGAAGGTAAGCTTGTTCACTTGTTTAAAAAAGCACTAGGGAACGTGACCGTCTTTACCGATGCGGTCTATTTGAAATCAAAAGTGGTTTATTGTAAATAATTAGTCATACCTATTCAAATAAAATACCTATATGCTTTGTTGCAGACACAATTGATGTTCCTAAAATGGAAGAATTTTTAAGAATTCCACCATTACAAATGGACACAACTGAGGTTGTAGAAAGTGAGGCTACTCAAAACCGTAAGTATCCATAATACTTCCTTTAAAGAAGAGCGGACTCTCCTAATACAGGCACTAACTGCCTAAAAGGAGGATCCAATCTAATATTGTGTTTATACTTATACTTGTTTTTACCAATAAACTATTTATTTATTATTATTATAGCTGTCATGTAGGTACCTATCAACATATTTGCAAAAGAATATAATGTGCCTGCTGTGTCGCACAATCAAAGTTAAATCATTATTTATTTCACATTAATTAACTTGATTGCTAATTATTGCTGTACCTTTTTTACAGAAGTTGTACTGCTTGTTACAAATGAGTTTGAACCATTGCCACCCACTACTAGTGCAGAAACAGTTCTGGAAACAAATATATTAAAAGTAGACAACGTGAATGGTGAGTGTATTTTTGATACTTTTCACTTGTAACCTTCAAGTAATAGCAGTAATGATAAATTAACAGCAACAGTAGTCATGTAAACTTTAGGTCTACCTGACACTGGTTAATATCTGTAACGGCCAGTCTGATACCGGGCACGGCCATGTGCTATTTCTTAATATGAAACAAGAGTTCTCTTCTATAAAAGTAAACATATATTTGAAATTAATATATACTAATTTTTTATTACAGACAAAGCTTTGCATGAAACACCAAATGGGAGATGTGGTACAACTCCAACTACTTCTGCCAATAAAAAATGGGATGTCACTAGCAGAAGAAATTTAAAATCAAGAAAACATCCTGCACTGATTGGTATGACATAATAATAGCATTGTAATGTATATAAAAATGTACAATTTCTTTCTCAACTTAATTTCACTATTGTTTTATTTACAGCTAATGTACCGAAAAAAACACTTTTTGATGAGCTGACTCAAGCTAAGCTGGAACTAGTTCAGCTCCAAAAAGATTTTTTGGAAGCAGAAATAAATGAAAAAAAGAAGGTGTGGGAATTTGAAGAAAATGAACGCAAGAAGGAGGCAGAGTTTAAAGAAAAGGAGCGCAAATGGAAGGAAGAAGAGTACCTACAAATTAAAATTAGGAAACAATTTTAAATAAATAAATTGTTTGTTTTATTTAGGGTCTATTATTATTTAGTAATGGTAAAAAATATTCTTGCACCAGTCTATTTCTAGGATCATAATTCAGCTCAGGGCTCTGCGCTGCAATTTCTTCCAGAGTCTGTGTATCAGTTGAGTTGTAGTTGTCCCCAAAGTTTCTTTCATTTACATCAATTGCAATATTATGCAATACAAAGCAGGCAACTATTATAGCTTGTACACGAGCTAAGTTTAATGTTATCTGTCGCCTAAGGACAGGAAACCTGTTCTTGCACACACCAAAACATCTTTCAATAGTATTCCTTGTTCGAATATGTGACTCATTATATAAATTTTCTGCCGGGGATGATGGGTTCAGAAAAGGTGTCAAAAGATATTGCTTTAACTCATATCCACTGTCACCAAGAAGTAAGCCATCTCTAAATTGTCCACTTTCAAATCTGTGTTTCAAAGATGAATTATTGAAAATTGTCTGATCATGAGCAGATCCTGGCCATCTTGCTACAACATCCAAGCATTTTAATTGGCTGTCACAAACAACCTGAACATTAATTGAGAAGTTTGACTTTCTGTTCCTATAATTTTCAGCTGAATTGCCTCCTGAAATGAAAAGTGGATGTGGATTACATTTTAATATTTTATTATGTACCCAAATAATGATTACCAAGTTATTATTTTCTTACATTGGCATGACAACATTAAAGAATAAAACATACCAGGTGACTTTATTGCAACATGGGTACAATCTAGAGCCCCTATTACCCTGGGGAAGCTTGCGATTTCATAAAAACCATCTTGAAGGGTGCTTAAGTTGTCAGGGAACTTTATTATCACTGTGCGTAGTTGAGCAATAGCCTCAGTCACCTTCTTAACGATACGGCTTGCTGTTGGTGGACTGACTCCACAAAAATCAGCCGCACTTCTTAAATAGGATCCAGTAGCGAGATACCTCAACGTTAATAGTAGGCTTGTTTTTGTTGGAACTGCTTGATTTCTGAAATAAAGATTTTTATAATGTACCTACTAACTGCACCTACTTACTTCAATCAACAGGTAACAGAACACATAAGTAGGTAGGTACTTCAAATTATAGGAGGGATTAATATGGTTTGATAGGTTATCTTAGGTAAAATCACTTGAATAATTAAAAAATACCACTCACCTTTGCGATTTAGGCATTATTTTATGTTTAATAAAGTTATGCACTTGGTTCACTGCATATTTCGATAGACGAAATCTAGCGAAAAAATCAGTTTCATCCAGGTCCGTAAAATAATCAACACGGAATTTAAATACACGAATCCTCGCTATTCGTTGCGTCGAAGAATGTTCTAATTCATCCAACTGATGATCAATTAAATCAAATAAATCCATTTTTATTCGTTTATTTTAAAATAATCGTTGGTGATGCAAGAAAAGACAACAGACAATACTTAATCGTCGAGTAAAGCACGCTAATTGGCAGAAGACGCGGCAAGTAAGTTACGGGTCAGTTAATCTTATGATTAGTGCTACTCGAACGTCGTGAAACTCGCACGTGAAGTTACGGGTCACTTTAACTGGCGATTAGCCTACTCGACACTTTACTTGAGGGTGGTGAAACAGGCCCTTAAACTTTTTTAATAAACTAATCGAATATTTACCACATTTCTAAATTAGCTTTCAGTAGCGCAAGATAATATTCCATCCACAAACTGAAATACAATAGATCCATGGCAAATATACACATCGCTTCTGATTAAACAGATATCACACAAATTAATTGAAATGAAACACTTAAACTGAGATCACAAATAACAAGGCAAAGCTTCTGTCACACATGTGAACCAGGGTGATGCGATTTCCGGACCCGCGGGCACGCCCGCGCAGCTCCATACTTCTTTACATTCCATACGATTATAAGCACTATGGGAAGTAAGGAAGCACGGAACTCGCGCAAGGCTTTGTGTCTTCATTCTTGAGTGTACTGCAATCCTGTGTAGTTGCAATTAGCAACTACCTGTTACACGTCAATAATGTTCAGTCGAGGCTTAGTGCGTCACGCCATCTCTTGGTGATGGTATTGCTGGCAGCACGGCGCGACACTGCGACAACGTGGGGGTGGCGAGCGACACGGCGTGATGGCTGCTCGCTAAGCACTGGCAGCGCGATCGCTGCGCACGCGCAGACCAGCTCTAAAAATGGAGTCAACCGGCGGAGTTCGCTTACGACTCGGGAGTACCATCCATTCCAAATTTGTATTTTCCCGAAATAGAACCGGCGGCGAGCGTCCATCGGATCGGTTACCCGAACGTGCAGCGACCTGCAGCGTGCGAGGACTGGCCGAAGTGCACGTCTGAACCTCGCCGGAGGCCGGCTCTTATGTAAGGAACACCGTGAACCGCGCCGCGTGACGACCGCTTCGAAAATAAACGTGCACGCCGAGTACGACGGCGACGGGCGCCACATGTGCGCGCTCCCGTCAGCGTTCCAATGATCGCGCGCTGGAGGGGAGGCTATTATTAGTTGAACACCATCCACCACTGTCACCTCCCGCAGGGTAGTCGAGCTATACATAGTTCCGATCACGGGATCTGGCAATCCTCCGCGTTCACTGACCTCCCCTGAAACAACATTAAATATTATGTATCTGATCAGTATACAAAAATACCTTAACCTACCTACAAAAAACTTCATGGACTCGCAATTCTAATATTATATGAATTAAGCTATTGACAACCTAATAGCTTCATGTGGACAATATTCATTAATACAATATTAAACCAGCAATTGCTACTGGTTTCTCGTCTATCTATACAATCGACTACGTAGTACGTATGTACACATTTGTATATGATAGAACGCGGCAGCCGCATCGCGGTAGAGAATTCCCGCTGCCGATTTCGCCCGTAAAGCTCGCCGCTCCGTACACTCAGTCAATAAAAGAATTTTGGCAAACTTTCGTAGACAAACAAGTGGGACGACAGCCAACTCATCTTTTGTCTGGTTGAAAGCAACATGGTTGTGTTAGTATTTCGATACCACAATGTTTCAAAAGTACCTTCTTGAAACATTTACTACTTAATGCCTTCTTCGTCAGACGTAACTTATTTTATTTATTTTCTTCGTTTTATTTACTGAAATTGTATTTACTTGAGTTACAATTGAAACGTCTTTGACGTTCAAGAAATTACTTCAAGATGGTACAGACAAGACGATTCATTTACATGACCTCCGGTAAAGAAAAAATGAGCATAAATGAGATGGTGTAATTTGTAGAGCTCACAAAATATCTCGGAGCTAAGAATAATAATTGGTCGGTGGTTATCTAACGTAATTTTATAAGATGAGCTACTGGGGCTATCTATTGAGTAAAGAAAGGCGGCGATGCTGTCCGCAGAGCAGCCGTCCGTCCAAAGAGCGTCTGTTGAATATTAATGCGACATTGTTATTGGCCACTAGTGCCCGCTGCTGCCCCAATCGCACATTTCCATAACTTACTATTCTGGATCCGCGGGGAATCAGCTCACTATGTAGGAATATGATCACTTGGGCCACTCATATTTGCCCTGTAAATTGTGTTCCGTCGCGACAATACATTACATTATTCATTACGGAATATATAAGTGGACAGCAAGTTGCCTTCTCGAACAGTGCGCATCATGCTAAGTTCTGTGGCAACGCCATGATTCACGGCCCAATTGTTTCACATCATGGGACGAAGTAATGTCGTGAACGCTCCACTAGTTATTGAATATGTCGCTTGATTGTAAACAAGCACTGAATTAAATGCGTCCAATGGTAATCGTTAACGGGAGCTGCACCAACAACATTACAATTTAAAAATACATGTTCGCTTTATATTTATTTATCAGCTGAGATAAACCTACTTCTCCATTCAAAATTCTAAGCAGCTCTCCGCTGCTTTGTTTTCGGTGGATTTACTTAAGTTGAATCAAAGTCGTTTCAAGTTAAAAGGTCCCCTCTTTCCATTGCCATAATAGTAATGCGTGTTTGCTGTTTATACGGACTGTTCACATTCTAGGGAGGGTTGCTGAACGATATAGTTATTATAAAATTTAACTTGTTGGGAGGCACGTATCAATATTAAAATGATCAACAATTTCCAAAAATACCTGGTTTAAAATTAGGTTACTCACTGTACATGCACACAAATAAAATATACAGTAGATACACGTATCGTTATACCGCATAATTATTTTAGTTTAAAAATACAATTCACTGGATTTTGTAAACAGACGTGTATGGCTACAACCTGCAATATTAAAACTTTAAAAATACATTTGTTCATTTGCAAGGTAATGATTCAATCTTTTAGGGACAGTTGGTCCTTACCAAAAATTAGGAATAGCTAACATATTTAGTTCGATGACTCATATACTTCTCAGTAACGCAACTGAATCAGAATTATAATGGAGGTTGAATTCTGTACCTTATAAATAACAAGTCTCCACTAATATCTAAAAAAAAAAGATGCCATTTTGAACACGCTAGATGAAAGAGAGGATCTGTTGCGTAAAACTTATTTCATCTTATCTACAAGCTTTGCGAATTGTTTGTAGATTTATTCGTATAATTATAAATTTAGTAAAATAGGAGTTTAAGTCATTGGCTCTCACTTCTGATATAATTAATTATTCACTTAGACAATTAATTCAATTGGACGGTTGGGCTTACAGTATCCTCACTCATGCGGCGAAACATAACATTTATTCTACGCTGGTTTCCTGTGAGTCCTTTGCAGTTGAGCTGGCCCCCTTATGCAGAAGCAAGGTTCTTCCACGTTAAACACAGTAAATTGTCCTTAAAGTTGTTCATAAACCTACTAAGAAATCGTACCAACATATCGAGAACTAAACAAGCTCCCTTTTTGAAATTTTACTCTATTAATAAAACAAAGCACGTCGTAGCCCGTAAGTCTAACTAATTAAAACGGATTACTCGTAGGAGACTAGCTAACAATGCACCATTATTGTCCTATATTATATTATCCTTAAGCCCAACACGTTTCTCGACACGCTTCAAACTTTGGTAATTATTGGAGCTCTACTTACTTATCTTGAAGCTATCACTTAAGAGACACCAGTAATAAGTTGAGACAGCAGTTATAAATCGAGTTTAAGACGTTGCCCTCGGCACATCTCGATGCTTAATGAACATTTCATAAGATCGATAATCTTGTTTGTATTGCAAATACTAACTTTTGTGTAAATTTGTAATATATTTCATATTGTCCTTAACAACTTGTATTAGGATCGTCAAGAGGAGTCAGTATTACTTTTATTGTATGTATTATGCAGGTCCACAGTATAGTTTCGATGGATACAATGAAACAATGAACATTTTCCTATGAAACTAAATCGTCAATGCTTTTTCTCTTTTCCTTTGTTACTTAGTATGCTGATATTATCAAGAAGAGAATTTTAGTTTTCTAACAACTATTCGGGATATAGTGTCATAACAATCGAGTTGTCTGTTTAATATTAATAATCAAAATGAAGCAGGATGGTTCCGTAATTTGTGCGGAAGGGAAAGGCATGAGGGATGTGGAGGTGGAGGTGTCTGAACTATAAGCCCCATCTTTCTCTAGCTATTATGCTATCCCATTTAACAAGACGAACCGGTTATAAACCATGCATAAAATCTGCACTACTAAAATTTTAGTCATCAAAAATTATATGTACGTATATAAAATTACTGTTTTAGGTATATGTATTAAGATAAAGGACCACTTTGTAGAATGAAATCCAAACCTGTGTGCTTTTTGTTAAAATACATTATATTTTATATGGTTGTTTCAATTTAAAAGAATACGGAACTGGTAGCGCATTTTGAACAGAAACAAATGAAACTAAAGCATAAATTGTTCACCACGTTCTCCTTTGCGAGTTGGCTCTTTCAGATTTATATTTCTTTTAAAGTTTGGTTTTCTTTTTTCTCAGGAAGTACTTACATCTCAGCATTAGTTTGTATTTAATAAAATAAGTTTGGGGTTTATATAGTAATAATATTTGGATATTTTTTTATTTAAAATAATTAATCATGAAGTCTCCATATCCAATAGGAACACGGACATATTATATAAAGGGTTATTCACCCCTAATAACAAAGTGTTCGCGTCATCAACAAATATACATTTTGGCACATTTCAAATTCCTTCGTCACGTCCGCTATTCGTGAAAATCGTGCATGACAGATGGCCAACCGAATGTCGATAGAGTGATCTTAGCTACAGGACCCAAGAAAAATTTTATGCACAGATAATAAAATGTGAATATATTGCCTACGTACCTATATCTTTTTCACTTGTACATAAAAGCTTTACTCTTAATGCAGTGAAATATATATACTTAGTTACTTACGGACTCAGGTTATAATTCGGTAATAGATTTATATATAAAGAATTTCTCTTAACCTTACTACCTACATATTGATTCCTTTTTACTTAGTAAATATTTTTCAACATTACATACAAGGGATATGTTACATTTTTTTTTGTTTTTTGATCATTTCATCTTCTGTTCGGAACGCACTCCTAATCTAAATCAAAACAAACTTAGATATTATATAGTATATAATTAAATAGAAATTCTGTACCATTTAAACTATTATCTCAACTCTGTTGTACAAGGTATTTCAACTCAGTTGGAAATATGTCATGTCATTAAATGCGTTACTTAAATTCAGTACACATCCATGACTGTAAGTAAAAACAAAACACAACGTTTTCCTACCAAATAATAATTTAACAAGATAGTAAAAGTAGTCCTAATAATTCCATTTTATAAGTTTCTTACTTCCAAATATCAATTTAAGTGTAGGTAGGTACTCATAAATATGTACAATTGTAATACTTACACTATAATTTATGTATACAACTAAACCCCTTAATTTTTATGAAGGACAAAGTTGTACATATGCTTGAAACGTGTTATTGTATCTAATTGTGACAATAAATCGTCACCCAAATATGTAAACTTACCACCGCTGTTCATTCCTTTACTCGTAATCAGGAGACATTCTTAAACTAATTAATGCTTCGCGACTATTCTCGTAGTCGGTATTGTTTTAGCACTGTTGTCGTGATTGAACCACTTTATGATGACGAGTTAATGAGAACTGGTAGATGTGCATTAATATAACACTGATGATGCGGTGCGCAGTGACAGATGAGCGGGCGCGAGACGCGCGGCGCGCTGACGCGGACTACTGATGTACGTAGCGAGCTATGAGCGCGCGCGCGCCGCCGACGGCCGCCGCGGCCGCCACTCTCGACGTTTGACCTTATTTAATTAGTTCGTTCGTTTTTACTCTTTGAATGTAACACAGCATATTAAAATGTGTAACCGTCTAATTCATTGTTACCATCCACTCGGTTAATATTCTCTACTCTAACTAACTCCCCACTAATGTTACGATGGCGCACTAATTACACTTATGACAACAATGTAGTCGTTAACAGCTAGCTCGTTTAAAGTATTACAAGCCTTAATATTGAAGATATTTAGTCTACTTGAGTACCAATAGGTACTAAATTGTTTATTGTAAATGTTCTAATTTTTTCCACGTAGGTATGTAAGCCGTGTATCTGGTAGAAACATAACACTTGCCGCTATTTCTGTTTCGAGTTCACCCACCCCGGCATCGCCGTTGATTTCTGCATCATATAAATAATTTCCCTTCTCAACATTATCCCGGACTGAATTCTTGTAATATATATGTAGCTATCAATGTATATGTGTGGCGTACAAATAAAAATGCACTCATCGTGCTCTCGTTACCTACTTGGCTCATGTATGGACATTTTTAAACGTGTGAGTTCGCGCGTTTGTATATCTATTAAAACCCTATAGTTTTACAATTATAATCTAAAATAATATTGGTTCATAATTACATGATGTTAATGAAGATCATATGCACCCGTTAAACAAGTTAATAATAGTCGGTACTTATTGCTCAGCGGGGGATATGTTACAATCCACTTTTTCTTCAACAGTCTATGAATACACCAGAGAATATCGCCGGCTATACGCGGGGGTGTAAACCTCATTTTTTTAGGAAAAAATATTTTGTCACAGGCAGGCGTTGCTGGCAACGGCTTTTGAATACAACATTCTATTTACATAAATTTGCATATGCATAGGTACTTAGAATAAAACCAACATAAATATTTCCGGGATTTTCAGGTTTACAGTATGCGTTGGCGGTTTATGTTACTCAAAAATATTGCTGCTTCATCATATTTTGGGTATTAAAGGCAAAAGTTTATGTGGTCGTAAATGACACATATATAAAATGAAATTGAGCCTTCTTCAACAAACTGACCTGGCTGACATTCTGTCTATAGGACTGTATTTTCTGTATTTAATTTCTCTCTTCACACGAATATATATCGAACCGTATGCCGCTAATAAGATAACTCCAGTTCGCCGTTGTGCCGTTGTTCTTAAGAATGAAAAATATCTTATTCTGTTGCAACAGCGATTCTGCGAGCCAGTTTAAAAACTATAAAGAAACCGTATTTTACCAACCGATCAAATCAACCACAATACCATCCTACTATAACTTCCTGACTCAATATGAAGTTTTCGACTCTAAGCTGTGGGCTAACAACCCATTCCTTCTAACATCGCTTAATATATGAAACTTTCTTATTATTACAGTGCAATGAAAATAATGCTGGGCAAGCTACCAAGACCATGGATAGTCGACGATGCCAAGGATGATGGGTACACGGCACTGCACCTAGCAGCGCTGAACAACCACGCCGAGGTAGCAGAGTTGCTAGTTCGAGGAGGTGCGAGACCGGATCTCCAAAACGCCAACCTGCAAACAGCGCTACACCTCGCCGTCGAACGACAACACACACAAATTGTCCGCTTACTCGTCGCACATGGAGCGAATCTCAATATTTGTGACAAGGTACCCTTTTGTACATCAAAAAAGTGCAGTTAAAGGACTACGTGTCTAGCATAGAATAGAATTAACGAAATGAAACGAATCAACGTTAAGTTTTTTTAAGTTTAATGTGCGTAGGGCGTTTTCCTTATCACAATTTCAATCTTCTCACAACTTCACATTACCATATACTGGCCAGATGTTAATTGAAGAAACATGAGTTTTTTTGCCCGAAACCTTACAAATATGGACGAGTTTGGCTTAATCTTACTAAAAATAAAAAAGCCGGAAATTTTTCAACAAAATTCTAAAATGTTACAATGAAATACCAATTCGTACGTTGTTCTGAAATTTAAAATGTAGGTATAGAAACAACAAAGTATGAAGACAGCTAGGCATATACATTTGAAATTTTACAAAATATGATTTTTATAGATTGTTTGGCCATCTACTCAACTTAGGGGTTTCACTCTTCAACTGGCCTAAATGGTTACAATTAAATAGATAAACAACTATTTTGAGGAAGTAAAATAAAATTATATCAAGAATAAGAATGCTAAGAGGTGTTCAATTTCCAAGAATAAATTAATATCTTAATCCTACCGTAATGTAGTAATGTAGATACATATCTTATGGCATCAAAAATTTCTCTTTTTATTTGAGAGATTTTACAATCCCTTTATTTGTGTCAAATATTCAGTATGCGAGTGTTGTATTTTAGTTTATTTTTTCTAAAATTGGCTTGTCAAAGCAGTCATCAGCATAAAGTCAAAGTCAAAATCATTTATTGATACATAAATATGTACTTTGGAAACGTCAAAATAGAACAGTGGTTGTTTTTAGTTCTGGTATAAACACAATATTGTATTGAAACTATGTATCAGTGAGATAGTTAAAAAACATTTGTTAACGAGTAACGTTGGATTCACTTCTTCATTCTTCATGCGAATCTACATTTTGGAGCGAGCTAGCTTCACTGACTGGCGAACAATGCAAATTTTACGTATCGAGTGACTGTGTAAGGATTAATGAAAAAAATTTATCTTTAACTTTACGATAGGTATTTGTACATGTGCAATGTGCATGTTGTTTCTGTATCTTTACTTTTTACATCAAAACTTTCACCTAGAACACCTTCTTTATGCCAAGTTTCATTTGCAATACTGTAATCAGGATGGCGACACTCCGCTACACGAAGCGCTGCGCCACCACACGCTGCAACAGCTGCGACGTCTGCAGGACGCGCGCGATGCAGCGCTACTCACAGGACTTGCGCACGCGCACGATAAGAAATCCTCCGCTTCCATCGCATGCTTCCTTGCCGCGCATGGAGCTGATCTAACTATCAAGAATAAGAAAGGTAAAGAAACTATGTTTTTTATGGAATAGGAGGCAAACGAGCAATGACCTGATGGTAAGCGATCGGCGCCGCCCATGGACACCCGCAGCATCAGGGAAGTCACAAGTGCGTTGCTAGCCTACCAAGAAGGAGGCCGCTCGTTTCTTGAAAGTTTGAAGGTCGTGTCGTCGTATGTCCGAGATACTTGACGTACCTTATTCATTGGAGAAATTATATCCTTTTTTAATGTTACTTTTTACATGAAGATCAAGTAATACAAAGATTTTGAACAATTGTGTGAAAATACATGAGCAATGTTTCTCCTTTCAGGTCAGACACCTCTAGATTTGTGCCCTGACCCGAATCTTTGCAAGACATTGACGTCATGTCGCAAGGAAGGAGCGAGTTTAGGTAGCGAGGGCACTCCGGAGAGCGAGCCGTGTTCACTGAATGCAGCGACAGCGAGCACGTCGGGCGTGACGACCGCGACACCCGCGCCCAGCGCGGAGACCGCCGCCGCCCTCACCACTCCTACACAGCCTGCGTCCTCTGACCCCACGGCAGACGAGTGCCTCGTTTGCTCCGATGCCAAACGAGATACACTGTTCCGTCCGTGTGGACACATTTGCTGCTGTAGCGTCTGTGCAGCAAGGGTAATTAACAAAACTTTTTCATCATTATCATCATCAACAAACCTTCACTACAAGGGGTTGGAGAACGCAGCACGATTCACTAACCCTATGTCGATTTGGAATTTGGCGTGTCGGTGTTTCGATTAGTGTATCAGAATAGATGTAATAGGTCGGCAAACGAGCAGACGGATTACCTGATGGTAAGCAGTCAGCTCCGTCCATGGACACCCGCAACGGAGGAGTTACGAGTGCGTTGCCGACCTTTTAGGGATTAGGAATTTGGAGATTTAGGGATTGGGTAGCGGAAAGATTGGACCTCCGGTAACTTCGCACACATGGTGAAACACAACGCTGTGGTTGTTTCGCGCCGGTATTCTGTGAGGCCGTGGTATCACTCCGGTCGAGCCGACCCATTCGTGCCGAAGTATGGCTCTCCTAAGTTTAAACCAGGTGTATGAAGGTATGGTGTGTGTGGCAGGTGAAGAAGTGCCTGACGTGCCGCGCGTGCGTGGTGTCCCGGCAGCGCGTGGGCGAGTGCGTGGTGTGCTCGGAGGCGGCGGCCGCCGTGCTGTGCCGGCCGTGCGGACACGTGTGCGCCTGCGCAGCCTGCGCGCCGCTCATGCGCAAGTGCGTCGAGTGCCGCACGCCGCTGCAACACGCCGCGCCTGCTGCGCCCGCCGCGCCAGCCGCGCCAGCCGCATCCGCCGCGCTGCAACCACCCGCACCACACAAAATCGACTGTAAGTACCTATGTCAACTGTAACCGCTACGGTAACGATCAATCCAATTCTAACTTTAAAAATTTCACGTTTCATGCTAACATAATATAATTATGCGGGTATAAGGGTGCAATTCCATTGAGGCGGAGCGGAACAGAGCGGAGAAAAGCTGTGCGGCGATTCACCAATCACATGGCTTGAAATCCACATTGGAGAAGGGATGTCATGGATTTCGCTTTGCCTCAATCAAACTGCACCCTTAACACCAAAAATAATCATTTAAGTACCTTAGAAGACTGTCTGCTTGAACTGTGTAACCAGGTCGAAACGACAAGCCTTCCAAGGTTGGGGATCATGCAATCCATGGCCATCTATGGGGCCCCTGTGTGGGCATTGGAGGCGGCGGCCAGCTCGTGCGCTAGTCAAACCCCAAAGGGTCATGGCTATTCGCTTAATCCCCAAAAAGCCAATAGACCAGCACAGCCGCGGCCCTATAGGGCTGATGTTCGGCCAATGTTGCGGGGCTAGCGCAATAAAGCACCGCGGCCTTGGCCTAAAGCAGAAGAAGGAACGGGAGGGTTTTAGTCAGTAAGAGTCTAACACTCCCTTGGTGGGAGAAGATTTGATGGTTCTCGAAGTTCAAAGTTTTTAAGGTGCAACCTGGTGCAACTTACATAATTATTTTTCGCGTTAACATTCTCGTAATTATAACACTCCATTTCGTTTCTGTTTTCAGTTGCATTTCCACCCTTAACTCCCTACTAATTTAATCATGTTTTTGCACATCGACAGTGGAAAAGGAGAGTAGCAGCAACCTGGCTCAGGTGCAGGTGAACAAAGGACAGCCCGTGCCGGCCCAGTCGGCGCCGCACTACATGAACAACGGGTCTCGCTTCGCGGCAGCCCCGGCACTGGCCGCCAGCAGCCCGCAGGCGGGGGCTGCGCCCCCCACGCTGGCGACTCCTGCAGCCACCGCGACTCCTGCGCCCGCCGCGGCTGATGTACAGAAACTGCAGCAACAGCTCCAGGACATCAAAGAACAGGTTATAAATTATTCTACATCTTATTCACGACTCACACTTAGCAGCTAGAATACCATTTGGTAAATTGAGATATTTGAACAATTTCGTTCACTGAGTCTTTTGTATTCATCATGTTATACATCCATCCATCGTGATATTCATCATATTATTTTTAGTTACATACATATTATAATATTGTATTGTCGTGGTGGTCCGAAGGTTAATAATGAGAATGCCTTCGGGCATTAAGTCCGCCTTTGTATGTTTTTTTTATGTACATGAAGTGTTAAATAAATAAATAATGGTATATGTATTTGGTTGGGCTTAATATCAAATTGCATCCTCTAACTATTAATAGCAGAGAGAAATGTAACAGAAGTTGCAAATAAACTTAAAACCGAACTCAAAATATAGCTACACAATATAATCAGTATCGAGATGTGTGTGGCAAATAATGAGGATGTTGTTTGTTCGCAGACGATGTGCCCGATCTGCCTGGACCGGCTGAAGAACATGATCTTCCTGTGCGGGCACGGCATGTGCCAGATGTGCGGCGACCGGATCACGGTCTGCCCCATCTGCCGCAAGCAGGTCGAGAAGCGCATCCTGCTCTACTGACTCGCTAGCTCGCCGCTACCTCGCTGCCTAAGCTTCTACTATAAGGCTGATATCTCTATAATGGCTTACCCAAGCAACTTATTTATTAGAATCCTATAAACTTTAAAGAATATATTATTTTATTATATAAAAATTACAAATCGCAATATCGCAGCTTCTCATTATTCGTAAACTCTTTTACATGTTCAATATGATTCTAGTATATGCCGTAATTAAGTTTGTACGAAGATATAAACCTTAACTGTTTTCTAAAACATTGCATACATGTTTGTTAGTGTGTCATATGTTCTGTTATATTATGTTAAGCCATATATTTGTTATATTTGTATAATTCATCGAATCAATTTAATGTTTAGTACTTAAAAATCACTTTTACCACAAAATATGAATTTTCCATTCTCATGCATTTATGTAGGTATCCGTTTGAAATAAGTTAAAATAATTATTAATTATGCAATCGTTCAATGCATTTTATGTTTGTGATAGATAAGCTATACAAAAAACATTTGTCATTTTACAAAATATAAGGGTCTAAGTGCAATGAAAACACTTTGCCAGCAAACGAACTGATATACATATATGTTCAAATTAAAGAAAGGAAAATGTTTTGTATAGGTACCTAGAACAGATTGTTACTCGACGAAGCCTGATCTGTACGAACGCGAGCTATTCACTAATGTGTTGTTATTGCTAGTGCCTACAGCTACGATTAAATGTTACAAAACGCGTGTTGTAATCCCACGCGCTATCCAACGATAGATTACTTGTATAACCATTATTGGATACTTTATATGTAATACGGATATGTAATTATTATTATTAAAATAAATATTACTGTTCAAAAATACATTTTTATTACAATTTTAATATAACAAAATTAAAAGTCATAACATAACCATGTTTTAAATAATTAAATACGACACTACACTACAGCTAGCCAGTATAGTTAGCCACCAGTGTATTCTCATCAATTGTATGTTTAGCTTGGTCTGGGAAAGCGGCCAATTCTTTGACTCTGGCTTCTTCGGTCAAAGAGACTCGGTCACGGATTAAATTTTTCGTTAAATCACAGATTCGGAAGGACAAGTGTAGATCCTGCGCCAGGTCGCTCACTTCGCAGCGGCGGCAGTCCTTGTAGTACACGTCCGACAGACCGTTCAGATCGGGGGACGTCGCGCAGTATAGAGGCGTACTGGCTGCTTGGCTCTGTACACATACAATACTATTATGTTTTATGAATGTTCTTTTTATTGACCTACTACACTCTAATAACAAACACGATACCTTTTGTGAACTGTGGATATTTTTGTTAAAAAATTGAGTTAAAAAACTTGTATGCTTACAATAGACTTGGAGAAAGGCCTCATGCATGTATAAAGCAGCTCGTAAGGCCACCAGTTCCGGCATAATCTTGTCTTCACGAACGTGCCGGGGTGTGCACAGAACACTGACTTGCCTGAGTTCAGCCACCGATAACTTAAATAATGCATAAAGTGAATGGCACACAGCTTTGAAATGTTATAGGCTCTAATGGATGTGTATTGACTTTTGGGAAGGGACACCATTGCTTCCGTGGGTGTTAGCTGATTATTGAAATCCCAGCTCACGTGCCTGAAAGTCAGAACGAAGTAAATGGTTACAATAATGCGAATTGACATACTTACTGCGAGAATCAAAGAGGATGATCAAGAAATATTTTAAAAACTAAAATGACTTATTGGTAACTGTTTTAAAATAAAATATATATAGAATGTAAATATAATGCATCACCTGTGTGACTCCGAAGATACAATCACGACGCGGGCGTCAGGAGCAAGAATCTTTTCAATATTCATTAATAAGACGTACTGACTCAGGTAATTGACTTGAAATGTTGTTTCTAACGAGTCCTCCGTAAGAGTCCATGGTAATCCAAATACAGCTGCGTTTAAGATAAGGATATCAATTTTCCTAAAAAGATAGAAAATATTAAACACAAAATTTTATTTTTTGACAAATTTTCTGTAACTGCATTACTCGAAAACGATTCTCGTTTTTTATCGGCAGGAAGATTGCCAATTATCAGCGACAGATTTTCATTACCAACTTTAGCTCAGTTAACAACTAGTAAAATACTTAATAGTTGTGTTACTAAGTGTTGTAAAGATCATCTGTGGCGCCTCGCGCGGATTTAGTAGTGGCAACCACCAAGGGCAGATCCACCGTTGTGGGCACGATGGGCATGCCCACAACCTTAATACACTTGTGATTGAAATAGGTTTGGATCGAAACTGACTATTAGAAATTAGAAGAAATCGTGTCCGACTTCTTCCTAAGTTTATTTACATTCCTAAGGCTAAAGTCCTGATGTTCAGAAAAAAGGAAATCTAATTCATAAGTTCATAAACGATTTGCATGATTGTTAATGAGCATGTCCGTACTCAGCCGATTTTCTAGTAGCTGTGACCACAACCTTTTTTGAAGGCTGGATCCGCGCTTGGCAACCATCCATATGTTATATAATTGCACACACAATTACAAAATTACACTGCATTTCGGAAGCACCATAAATTACTATTGAATTACAAATTGTAAAGCACGGCACATTCTTCACTTTATAACAAGACATTTTCCCGCCTTCAATATATGTACTTTGCTGTCCAAGCTGACGCTCAAAACACTTTATAAACTATTATATGAAGCATTTTACAATATATCGACTGAGAAGAAATTACTGACAAAAATTGCTGCCTTGTTTACTGGTAAATAGAATTACCGTTAACATCGGCTATCTTATAAAATACTAGCTACTCTCGAAGTGTTTCACCCGCTGCTCGGCACCTACAGATCGTAGCGTTATGTTTGATAGCCAGTAGCCTATATAGCCTTCCTCGATAAATCGGCTAACAAACACAAAAATAATTGTTTAATTCAAACCAGTCACTCAACTAAGAGTCTGTGTTCCCGAAGAAGGCGTGCTCCATTGTAGGTCGCATGAGACGCATCATAGCTTACCACCAGGCGTAATAGCGGCCAAATGCCTGCCAATTACAAAAAAAATTTCGTCCCGCAGATTAGTGCGTTCAAACAAACAAAAATTTATAATACCTACTTATAAATTAGATAGGTATTGATTCAAAAGTAATCTTACGCTTGTTGTTTCAAAATTTCGTCGGAGCACTTTTTTACAGATCTTAACGACGCAAGATTAACTTCATAAAGTTTAAGGCGATGGCTATTTCCACAAACATTTTTAGCGACCATATTGGCCGCATAGGGATTGCGACAAGCCATAAGCACCGTGCACTCTCGAGAACTTAGAACTTTCGTCATCTCCAATCCGATACCACTGTTAGCTCCAGTAATCAAACATGTTTTATTGGACAAATCAAGATCTTTTGTAATCTGAAAATTGAATTATTCTGTTTATTAAGTATAGGCATACAAGCATACTGATTACCTGGCGGTAAGCAGTGGTGTTAACGCATAAGCACTACAAGCACGTGCATGAAGCCCCTGTTCTCCACGGGCCTCCATCCTGTGCTGTCGTTTCATTTTATATACCTACATTTTGTCGAAATTAGTCCATTATACCTACATTTTATCGAAATTGATCCACAATATGACGAAGGCGCGAGCAATCCGGACTGACCCTTCATACCGTAGTGGGCCGCAGAAGCCTGCCCCCTTCGCGCCCGCCCGCACGTCGCGTCGCGCCGCGAGACCGAGTAGTCATCTTAGGAGTTTCACCTCGGAATTTGGAATACCAAGCTGTATATTTTTATGTAACTTTTGTTTTGACAATATTAGCTGTATATTGTCATGTTCCTAATGACGGCAGTGGATTCTTCAATTTTAAAGAGACTGAAAGATCAGTTAGTTATACTCATATAGGACACTTAAGTGCGAGCTTTCAGTCTCTTTAAATTGAAGAATCCACCGCCGTCATTACGAAAACGAATACCTACGGTTACCCTAGGGCGAAGTCTTGCGCTTCTCGGACTACAACTGCAAAGTACAAAGTGCAGTGCCGGTGTTATGGGAGGCGTGATTGGGCGATGGCCCAGGGCGACAAATTCTGGGGGGGGCGCCAAGATCTGAAGTTACAGTCTCTTGCCTCTCCTGGCGCAAACTCCCAGAACTGTGGTCTATGCTCTTTGCATATGCATATTTCAATTGCGTATTTTTTAAATGGATTTTTTGAAGGTTTGTGGTCGAAGAGTGATTTTAACGATATCAATACGATCATCAAAAAACTTGTCATATTGCTTCTCTCAAGTGGACGCCACAATATTTTCGCCCGGAGTGTTAGTGGCCCTTACGCCGGCACTGACAAAGTGAAGAGAGTTGGAGCCACCAAGCAGGCTATATAAAGATACTTTTCAAAATTTTATAAACTGAAGAGAGGCGTGTTTTAATAGGGCCTTAAGTTTGACCTTAAATGGCACTACTCTGCATAGTTAAACACTGCCCTCCATTGCAAAATCGATTTGACGTTTAAAAATGCTTTTGAAACAAAAGTATTTTATTCTCTATAATATTGATCATGAATGCAAATCGGCTAAATCCCATAGGATATTTGCAGAAAATATTAGAAACATCGATTTTTGTGACCTTTGGGACACCTTACAGTGTGTAGGTTTGAGGGAAGTTTTAAAATGTCAAAATAAAAGTCTATACAAATATACAGCTTGGTATCTAAAATTACGAGATTTTCACCTTATTTTGGCTAAGGTGACTGGACTAGAGTGAGCGACTTGTCTTTGCAAATGATAGCACCCATACGCATTACCGCACGTACTTACCTACTGTAATCTCGGAGTTTGCTCCGATTAAGGCAAGAAAAAAATTGTTTTAAGTTTTAAATGATACCTACTACATTTTCAATTTTGATGAACTTTTATTTTATACTTTCTACCTTCTATTTAAGCAATAGAAGGCCTACGACAGGCTCTGTGCTTAGGGCCTCGGATACTCTAAATCCGCCACTGCTGGTAAGCAATCGGCGCCGTCTACCGGCAACACCCAGTGTTGTACATGGCGGCAGTGGCGCCGGGCGGTGGCGATACCAGAACGCAGTTGCGAGTGTGTTGCCAGCCTTTTGTGGATTAGGATTTTGGAGATATAAGGATTAGGGAGGGGTGGTTGGGGCTTCGGTAAACTCACTCACGGCAAAACACAAAGGTGTGATTATTTCACGCTTGTTTTCTGTGACATCGTGGTATCACTCGGTCGAGCCGACCATTTTATGCCGAAGCTTGGCTCTGCAGTTTCGATCATCAAAATTTAAAATTTTAAATGTAAGAAACATTTTTCTTGACGCTATTTATTTATTGTACATAATAAATATTGATTTATTTATTATGTACTTATCTATTAGGCTCCTAGGTAAGGATAAGTAATATCAACTTACATTAATATAAACACAGAAAATAAAGACTAGGTACTTAGGTAATACCTACTCAGTCGGAATCGGATGTTTATGTGTTTGGTTGTATTAAGTAGATATGTAAATATATATAGTAAATATACATACCATATAGGAACTTGCTCAAGCTGATACAAATATGAAATTAAAACTGACCTCATCAGCCGTTGGTCCATGGATCCCAAAGAAGTCAAGCCCCTTTCCTAACGCCGCCAAGTAATTGTCAAGCGAAGGTGTCTTTTTGGCAGTTGTATTTACGAAATGTTTATCAACTCGATTTATCAGAAGAGGAACTCTGCAAATATAGAGATGTAATTTTTTTACAATAATAAATGATTCCTATGTTGATGAATTATTCCTCGTAAAGAAGTAATTAAGTATTCGGATAAAGACTTTTGGATTTTTAAATAGTAGGTATTGCGAAGCATTTAAATCTCAAGCGCGACAGTGCGAGTTCCGAATTTGGCAGGTAGGTACCAATGCTCCTTTTTCAGAGTCGTATGTAGAACCCACATGTAACCTGCTAAACGGTGAAAGAAAAACTGGACTTATAATTTCTTATTAAAAGTTTGCAATGACCAATTCGCCTTGAGCAAGCGACGTGATTACTACTGAAACGTTCTCCATTCGAAAAGTGGCCTCTGCGCTAAACAGAAGCTATAATGATGTAATAAGTAATGTAATCATAATGAAGTTTCATGTCATTTTAGATTTAAACTTTATTTGAGGTAGGTAGTAAGTACCTATGGCCGTTAATGACGTCGTGGTTTCAATTTTTTGCACCCAATCCAAACTAAGGTCTCATAATGACGAACGCTCATTGTAAATAATTTAATCATTAAAATACGACTCACCTCCGAAAATAAGATCGTAACATGGTTCCAAAATATCTTAAAATATTGTATATATTAATTAAATTTTAGCTTAAAACGAGATTATAATAATTTCGTTTTTACTTTTACTCTTTTAGTAAAATGACAGATAATATTTCATAATATGTTATTTTTTTGCGTCATAGATTTAATAGGTACATTAAAGAGTTTGTTAATAAATAAATGTCCTGTCCTGTGTCCGGTATCTTACAAGATATATTCTAACTTCAAGACAACCCTATCCAAGGAGATATGATCGGCCATTTTATATTTCTGAAATAGATTAAATTTCTGCAACTGTTATCATTATGTTTAACAAAAGAGTAAACATAGAAAACAGAACTCATGAAAGTGCCGCAGCCAGTAAGTCACAGGTTACTAAAATATAGTCAAGGAAACTACTATAAACGAGTCAGTCTAAAGTTCTATGGCCACTTTGCCTGGTCCACAAACCTGGAACAGACAAAAGGAAACCTTATAAATAGGTATATCAATGATTATTGAAAGCGGTAGTTATAAACAAATCAACTTCTAGCTTAGGAAAGCTTATGATGACAGAAAAAAACATTCCTACTTTTAAAAACATCTACCGAAAATGTACCTATTATTATAGTCACATTTAAACTCATTTTACTACTGGCCTTCTTACTCCGTTAAGATTGTAGTAACACTGTGCTACTGGCCCTAAATAAATTGTTCTTATTCTTTTCTGCATGGTATCCTTAGCTTAGACCATAGAAATTAATTTAATTCCTCCATGATGGCTTCGGAGCGCTTCGGAGTTTAATTTATAATCTGTGGCCGTCTATCACTTGTCATTGTGACTTGTGTCAAACTGACATTGCAGTAGCTAATGATTTGTGACAGTCAAAGCAAATAAATTACCAAACAAACGACAAGTTGAGAGCTTGGCGTGTTTATTTCAATTTTATTTTAAATGTTGATGTGTTTTCTGTAACAATGGATAAAAATAAGAGACGTTATTCGTCAAGTTCAGACAGTGCTGAAGAACATCGTTTAAAAGACATAAAAGAACGTGATGAGTTTGCAAAGAGGCTAAAGAAACGTGATGAAGAAAAAGTAAAGAAAGTCACTGAATCTTCCAGCAAGAGGTCATATGAAGAAGCAGCCAAGCGACTTAAGTTAGAAGCTGAAGACAGAGAAAAGATATTGCCCAAGTTACGCATTCATTCTCGTCGGAAATATTTGGAAAAAAGGAAAGATGACAAAGTAATTGAGTTGGAAGCAGACATCGCTGACGATGAGTATCTTTTTGATGAAAGCAGGTCAGTTTATGTTTTTATAATTAATGTAACTACATATTAAACTTTTACCAAAATGAAGAATCAAATTATATTATTAGAATACTCAGTTATAATTTGATTCCATATAAATCTTTTGCTTCCAGCTTAACCCAACGGGAGAGATTGGAGAGGGAACACAAGAAAACCATCTTAAAATTAGCTAAAGAGCATGAGAAAGCCAGGGAGTTGGAAAATGTTCAGAGGTATCACATGCCACAAGATTTGGGAAAAGATGCAAAAGGTATTGCAACTTTATATTTATAGATTTCATTCCATACTGTTGTCTTGATAGAAAGAGATTAATATATGTATATTCTGCTTGAAGCATGATTTTCTTCTATGCATTTATTTTGTGTTTGCAGGTGAATATGTTGAGGTGGATGAAAGAGAAAAAGTGCCACATTCTGAACAACAGAAATGGGAACAAGAACAAATTAAATCAGCCTTCTTTAAATTTGGTGCCAAAGATGCTAAAGCACAGGATGAATATGAGTTGTTACTGGATGAACAGATTGACTTTATTCAAGCTCTTCAATTGGAAGGCAACAAAGAAAAGAAAGAAACTGAAGAAAAATCTGAATATCAGAAAATTAGAATGACTATTGAGGAAACTAAAAAGTCTCTGCCAGTTTACCCCTTCAGGGATTCATTAATTGAAGCCATTAAAACTTACCAAATACTGATAGTAGAAGGTGAGACGGGATCTGGAAAAACTACTCAAATACCTCAGTACCTTCATGAAGCAGGGTTCACTAAAGATGGTAAGAAAATTGGTTGTACCCAACCAAGAAGAGTAGCAGCTATGTCTGTATCAGCCAGAGTGGCTCAGGAAATGAATGTCAAACTTGGAAATGAAGTTGGGTACAGCATCAGATTCGAAGACTGCACATCTGACAGAACTGTTATCAAATATATGACTGATGGCACTCTACATAGGGAGTTCCTCTCTGAACCAGACTTGGCCTCTTACAGTGTAATGATCATTGATGAAGCTCATGAACGGACATTGCATACTGATATATTATTTGGACTTGTGAAAGATATTACCAGGTTTAGACCAGATTTAAAATTACTTATCTCAAGTGCCACTTTAGATGCTGAAAAATTCTCAAGTTTCTTTGATGATGCTCCTATCTTCAGAATACCTGGAAGAAGATTTCCAGTAGATATCTATTACACAAAAGCTCCAGAAGCTGATTATGTGGATGCCTGTGTTGTGTCTGTATTACAGATACATGCCACACAGCCACTTGGGGACATATTAGTTTTCTTAACAGGTCAAGAAGAAATTGAAACTTGTTTTGAAATGTTACAAGAAAGAACAAAAAGAATTGGCAAAAAATTAAGGGAACTTATTATTCTACCAGTATATGCTAACTTGCCAAGTGATATGCAAGCTAAAATATTTGAACCTACTCCAGAGGGTGCTCGTAAAGTAGTGTTAGCGACCAATATTGCAGAAACTTCTTTGACTATTGATAATATTATTTATGTTATAGACCCTGGTTTTGCCAAACAGAATAATTTTAACTCAAAAACAGGAATGGAAAGTTTAATGGTGGTGCCAATTTCTAAAGCCTCTGCAAATCAAAGAGCAGGCAGAGCTGGCAGAGTGGCACCAGGAAAATGCTTCCGCTTATACACAGCATGGGCATACAAATATGAACTTGAAGACAATACTATTCCAGAAATACAGAGAATTAATCTTGGTAATGCAGTTCTCACTCTTAAAGCTTTGGGAATCAATGATCTGATCCACTTTGATTTCTTAGATCCACCACCACATGAAACTTTAGTTTTAGCCTTAGAACAGCTTTATGCATTAGGAGCCCTCAATCATCATGGTGAATTAACTAAAGCTGGAAGAAGAATGGCTGAATTCCCTACAGACCCTATGCTGGCTAAAATGTTACTGGCCAGTGAAAAGTAAGTGGTTTCTTACTAATTTACCAATTAGAATATGAACAAACATTATATTATATCCTGTTTGTTTTAATCACTTAAAACAAACAGGATTTAGTAATTTACTTGTCAATTTTTTCTTGAAAATTTACCTTAAAGTATATTTCACACCATTTATAATGCATAATAGGTCTATACCATATTGTGCAATAATAAATATAGCTATATCATTGTTATTTGCAGGTATAAATGTTCAGAAGAGATAGTGACTATTGCTGCCATGTTGTCAGTAAATAGCTCAGTGTTCTACAGACCTAAAGACAAGATTATACATGCAGATACAGCAAGAAAGAATTTCTTCCATCCACATGGGGATCATTTGACTCTTATGAATGTGTATAACCAATGGCTTGGTTCTGAATACTCAGTGCAATGGTGCTATGAGAATTTTATTCAATACAGGTCAATGAAGCGAGCACGGGATGTACGGGAACAATTAGCTGGCCTTATGGAACGGGTTGAAATTGATATGGTGTCAAGTATTAGTGACGACACTAACATTCGTAAAGCAATAACTGCTGGATATTTCTACCATATAGCTAAGTTTTCGAAAGGAGGCCATTACAAAACAGTGAAGCATAACCAAGTGAGTATCTAGTTCTTGTTGCTTCAAAGCTAACCTTCTCTGTTCAAATGTAAAAACTTTCTCATCAAATATGAATAATATGAAATACATTCCTTTTCCAGACTGTTATGATTCATCCCAACAGTGCACTCTTTGAAGAATTACCACGATGGGTCATATACCATGAATTAGTATTTACTTCCAAAGAGTTTATGAGGCAGGTAACAGAAATAGAAAGTAAATGGCTGCTGGAAGTTGCTCCCCATTATTACAAAGCTAAGGAACTAGAAGACTCCACAAATAAAAAGATGCCTAAAACTGTTGGTAAATCTTCAAATACTTAATCAATAAACCAAATGAAATATTTCAAAATTTTTATTTTAACAAATTTCTACTACAATTAAGTTATCTAACCTGATATAACACACAAAGTATAACTGATTAAAACTAATCTATAAATTTCCAAGAAAAATAATAAGCACCAACACAAAGTAGGTAATATCCTAATATTCTAGCTTCAAGTTTTATTTTTATTAATATTCATGTAAACTATGATGGTAGAATGGTTGGGATGCCACCACTCAGAATTTCTTACATAATATTCACAGACTTGTAATCTATATCAACTGTAGATAACATTATAAAAGAAATCTACAATTGACATCAATACATCACAGATATATTATTAGTTTATCAGCCATCTACTCTAAATCATAGCAATCGTCAAATATTTTTTTTTTCATTATTAATACAATAGGTAGCATAATTGGGCTAGAAATCTGTGCATCTCCCCTTCCTTTCCCAATCTCCATAGCGAGTAGGTTCTGGTCCTCTAGGCCCACCTACTTCTCCAGTATGAGGATTGATATCATTGGGCCATGGAGGAAGTGGATTTTCATCTTTTTGAGATGGATGCATTGTAGGTTGTTCTCCAAGATCATTAATTGGAGTTGTTTCTCTTAACTTCTTTCGGAATTCTTCCAACCTTTTAGATTGGGGCCTTTTAGACTCATCTCTGGCTTTTTCAGTTTGTTCTGCCGCCTCAGGTGTAGTGGTATTATGAGAATATTTACAAATGGAAAATCTAAGACTTGATATATCTGTAAAAAGAAACATCAATCTATAAATTAATGTATTGTGCGTATTATGAGCTGTTATTTTAATGTATATACATTATAATGAGTACTGAAAAATTAGTTAACCTATGTTGTTTTACATTTTATGTAAATGATATAGTAAAAAAGTAATAAGCAAAATACATTATACTAGCAAATATTTTAACACATCCAGTGCCCCCGACGCGTATGTGCGTTCAATACATATGTATTGAACGCACAGGTGCGTCGAGGGCACACAGAGTAGCGTAAGGAAACGCACATACGCGTCGGGGGCACTGAATGTGTTAAAACATAAGAATGCAATTTTATATACTTACTGCTAGGGAGAATTTTCTGTAAATTATATAAACGAAACATTGCACAGAATTAAAACGAAGTCGAATAAATCCCAACTTTATAAATATTCGTCGGGACTTAATATTATGTTCTATAGAAAAATTGATTATAAGAAAATACTGAGATACGTACGACGATTAGGTACTACTTATTTTTTTTTTCAGTAACATGACAGAATGATGACAATGACAATAACTTGAGCCTGACAGTTTTCACAGTGACGAGAAGCTAAGTGTGACAACGGAAGCTGAATTCTTTTTACAGCAGATATTTAGTTTCTAAAATATTACTTGTCTGCCTGTATATTAAGTAGAAAGTTTTTTTATTCGTAAACTTTTAAGTTAGCTGGCATTAGGAAAACTTTAAACTGAATTACGGGAAAGTACAGCCTATAATCAAAGCCGTAACAAAAACATAAAATATTGAGAAAATCTCAAAAGTTAGTACAAGCTACAACAAAACTAAGGAACAATTTTGAGCGTATAAAATATAATGATTTTTACTATGCTATACATAGGTGTGTGGAAAAAGACAAGCGAATTTGATTTATCCAAATCAATTGATTCATCAGTATTTTTCTATCACTATTGTTTCAATTCGATGCAAAAACGATCTTTTTAGTGGGCAATTCGAAAAAACCTATATAATAAATAATGTTGCCGCTTTGGTTCGCTTCCCATCATGTCAGCACCATGGAGGGATTAAATCTACTTTTCCATGGCTTAAGATGCACACTGCCTCTGTATGATCCGCCTGGTTCTCCGGCTAGCTCTCGCAGTGATGACACCAGGGTGACTGTTTATTCGTGTTTATATTGTGTCGCGCCAGACGTGTATCACTTACAAACATTACCTACTAAAGACACACACGGACTTCTTTTTTTTTGGAGTTTATGGCCTGGATACAAGTCCTTTAAGCCAACACAAGTACTTCGTCTTCGTGTCGCCACAGAGTAAACAACCCTATTTTACGACTACGACTGTGACGTGTCTTGTCAGCTTGTCTGTCAAGCCAAGCCATCCGTCACTGGCTTATTCCGTGTCTGTCAACTCTGTCACAACAAGAAACTTACAAAAGTATTCAAGTTACTGCAAACACGAGGACAGAATCTTCTTAGAAACCGGAGAATGAAATGCTTATGAATTACATAAAAAGGAAAAAGCCTTTGACGCAATTTGTACTACACACGTTTAAAATGGCAAAAAGTTCATTTGAATATGTTAAAAAATTTGAATTGGATGATACTCTTCTACCCAATAGTTGGATAGTGGTAAGACTGGATGGGAAGTGCTTTCATAAATTTGCAGACGACCATAAGTTTTCTAAACCGAATGATTTGAGAGCATTAAAATTAATGAATTATGCCGCTTTCAATGTACTTCGTGATTTCAATGACTTATTAATGGCTTTTGGGCAAAGTGATGAATATTCTTTTATATTCAAAAAAAATACTACACTTTATAAAAGACGTGCAGCCAAATTACTAACAACAATTAACAGTAAATTTTCTTCGTCGTACGTATTTTATTGGAGTAAATTTTTTGGCGATGTACCTCTGAGATACCCACCTACATTTGACGGCCGCACGGTATTGTATCCTAGTGATGAAAATTTAATAGATTACATGAAATGGAGACAAGCAGATGTCCACATCAACAATTTATATAATACCACATTCTGGACATTAGTTTTAAAAGGAAATCTGTCTCCTTCACAGGTGAGATTACTAATCTATAATATGTTGTGTGAACATTAGTCTTGGTTAAAATGACATTCCTGCTGCAATGACTAAATTCCCCGTATTCACCAAACCCAATCTGTTGACTGTAGTATTAGCATACTACAGCACTAACACTGACCACCTGCAGCAGAGTGTGTACAAAACTATATAAGTCATCCACAAATTTCTAATTTGTGTGTAGTGTTGTGTATGAATAATTATTATGTTTACCATCCCATGATACAAGAGAAAGGTAAGAACAGGTCAACAAATACTAAATAATAAACTTCCTTTCAGGCTGAAAAACGATTATGTGGAACTGTATCTGCTGATAAAAATGAAATTTTATTTCAAGAATTTCAAATTAATTACAATAATGAACCAGAAATATTCAAACGAGGAACACTGTTAGTGAGGAAAACTATTCCAAATATTAATTTAGATAAACAGAATAATGTTATAGTGGATACACATGATGATATGCTGAAAGATCGGTTTTGGAGTGAGCATAAAAGTTTATTATTAACTAAGTGTAAGGAACCAAATGTGTATAAAGGACCTATCACAGATATTATTGCAGAGCAAATAAATTTTATTAAAGAATAATGTCAATTGGTAAATAAATATTTTATACATTTTTATATTGATGTTTTTGATTACAACCAACCTTATTATTATTATTATAGTCCTAACTTTTCAAATGCATATTAACATGACAGAATTTGCTAAACTATCTTAATGATAGGTCGGCAAACAAGCAGACGGATTACCTGATGGTAAGCAATCAGCGCCGCCCATGGACACCCGCAACGGAGGAGTTACGAGTGCGTTGCCGACCTTTTAGGGATTAGGGATATCGAGATTTAGGGATTGGGGGAGGGGAAGGATTGGGCCTCCGGTAACCAGCGTTCGTGTTCGTGTTTCGCCGTGGTGCGACCAACGCTGTGGTTGTTTCACGCCGGTTTTCTGTGAGGCCGGTCCTCTCCCACACCTAATTTTAATAATCTGTAATTGTTGTTAGAAAATAAGATATTTTTTTAGGAGGTCTTGGTATTGGAATCGGAATATAAGCCTTTAATCAAAAAAAGAATCTCCAGTATCCGTTTAATTCGCATGAAGTTTTCAAGGATAAAAAAAACAATAAAGTCATGTGATAGGAGAACCTGACCCACTTTTGAAGTCACATCTCATTTGAAAAAAAATCATTTTGGGATTATAATGATACTTTATTTAGATAACATTAAATAGGTGTCCAACGATTTTAAATTACATTTCCATTCTAATCAACATGATTTTTAAAATAAATATTGAGTACTGTGCTCACATATGGAATAGTTTTTTAATGTTATTGATTTCTGAAAGGCGCAAATATTTCGAATATAACTTTGTTACACTATACATTAAGCATATAATAATTTAAGTTCCTACCATTTTTATTTATTGTAGAAATAACAGGTACTTTATCCTATAAACTTGCTTAGGTGGCCTTAGCAAATATTCAACTTCGGAATATTTATAGTAACACAAATAATCAAAAATTTGTAAACATGAATTACTAGCAGTTTACATAAAAATGTCTAAATATCTTTAGAAATATTGAAGAAATAATATTTAAATACTGGTTGGAAGTTGACTTACTGTCAAATACTCTCAAAGAAATGTAGGCATAACATTATACTGTGTGATTTAATCAAAATATCCTGTAATTACATATGTACAAGTAGCAATGGTTATGTAGATATTCAATTAACAATCTTATGTTTAGAATACAGACATTAACAATGTTTATATTTCTTACTATCATCTACATTTTAACTGTATTTTGTATACATACATTTGTCCTGATTGATATTGCAAATAGGTATGTACAAAGCAAACATTTTTTTAAAGGAATTCTTAGAGTTCAGAAGTATAATATACTGTTTAGAAAATGGGAATGTAGTTGTCAATCTTAGCACGGTGCTTTTGAGCCACACACTCACTGATCCATACAATGTTTCGGCATTCTTGTTCCTTCAGTTTCAGGTATGAATAGAATACACCAAAGTGGAATTGTTGCAGGAATGCGTGGACATTGAGGCTTACCTGAAATTCACAAAAAAAAATATTTTACATTACTACACACAACAATAAAAGGTATAAAAAAAGGTATAAACGTTTAATCTAGATAAAAAACATAAATATTGAATGTCTAGATTATGATTATATATAAATCTGAATATACCAGATAAGTATCTTAATCATACCTCATGCTCGAAGAACTTGTCCTCCAAGGTCTTATCCCCAACACTGGTGCCAGCACCCTCAAACAATGCTTGGTACTCAGCATAGTATTCAGCAACAGCTTTGACTTGCTCATAATCATCAGCTCTGGCAAGAGCAGCTAATCCATCAGGGTTCAGTTTGCCACAGCGTGGGTATAACTTAGCACGGTCATCCTTGGACAATTCTGTTCCAAACGAGTTGATAGTGATGATAATCGCACGTCGGTCAGCTTCAAACTGCAAATATTTGTTTATAAATACATCACAACAAACTATAAACAAAAACATGAGTGACAAAAAGTGGGTGAGAGTTTTGTGAAGTGTAAGTCAAACCATTAATAAAATTAAGGGTATGATTATTTTGTTTAAAATTAATATATATAACTTACTGCCAGAATTTCACACATAACATCAGCAGTAGTTCCTCCAATCTGCTTGCAAAAATCATAGAAGGCTTCCAAGTAAGCCTTGTACAAGGTGTTACGAATTATCTCAATGTTCATCTCATCCAAGTCTTGCTCACTGATGCAATCCACAAAGAAGGGGGCCAATGGGGTGTCAACAAGGACTGCATTGTACAGTTCAGCAGGGGTCGCAGCAACATGGATGGCTTCCATCTGCTCAAAGGAGCCCAAGGGGTGGCATTTGGGAATGAGCTCCGAAATAGGCCTCTGGTGTAGAGTACCAGTAATCAACAAAATGATGTTGTCAATCATGTAACTGTATGTAATGAAATCTAAGAAAGTAGAAAGAGGCTCTACTGAGTGATTCCTTAGATGCTGGAACTCAATCACGAGCTTCTCGCGAAGCTTATCGTCAATTGTAGAAACAGAAAGTGGGCTGGGCTCATTCGCAAGGAACGTACCGTAGTCGGTGCCCTGCAGATGAAGCTTTAGATCTGTAAACAATGTTAAATGTCAAATGGTAATGGTAAAGAAGGATTGAGTTTATACGTAACTACTGATTACCAAAGGCAAAATAGATATTATGAGATATTATACAACAGTCTACAAACCTTCCAGGGTCTCGCATTGCACCAAGTTAAGGTAGTCAGCCTGCTTGAGGATTCCACACTTGAAACCACGGCACAGTCCTTCTAAATATCCAGCATCGATGTTAAAAATGCACCCCTTCATTTTGCTTCTGTATTTTTTTACTGAAACAGTTTAACTTTACCCTATTGGATATTTTAGGCAACTCAAATCAGTAAAAAAGCCCAAAGAGACACAGAAGAAGGAAATCAATTGAGGTGGGTGATCAATGATCATATGATGCAACCATAGACAAGTGTTTTGTTTTTTACAGAATAAGAACCTATTTTTTATATAAATCTAAAATAAAGAGTCAACCGTAATTGAAAAATAAATTCTTATGAAATCTTAAATTTTCATTCGTTGCCGTTTAGAACCAAAACAAACCCTAATTGTAATTAGATAAAATCATAGCAAGTAGGTAATTTCTCGGTGCATTTAAAAAAATGTATATTTTACAACTACGCTTGTATTTAATAAAAAATCGTTTTAATTTATTTGGTTTCATGAACAGAAATTTGTATTGATATCAAGGTGGAGCCAATTCAAAAAAGAAAAACAAAGTTAGATTATTACAATAAGGATCAAGTCAAGAGGTTGGCCACTGATGCGATAGACTGTTTCAGACTAAACACCGACTGCTCGTTATCCATTAGACATCCATAATTACTTACAGCCAGCCAGCAGGGTAGCTAAAATATTTACGCATCTATCACTTGGTCAGTCTCATATTAAAGGTGAATTAGACATTTTAGGATTAGAGACCACTCTAGCGAAGTGTTCTATCGGAAGCGAGTAAGAAATGTTATTCTATTTTCGCATGCTCTTTGAAAAGAAGAAGGTGAATTTCCACCAATAGGTAGAGACTAAACAATAGTCTAGTTCCTATTCTAGTGTCTTATCAGACTTCAACTGTTGCGGAAGTAACATACAGTAGAAGTAAGCAGATATTCGGGATATCCGCTGTATACGAAGCAATTTGTTGCTTTTTTTGCCAAAACTCAAAAATACTTTCGATACTTTCATAAACTATGTATGAACCAAAGAGTATATAAACACTACGTTCTATGTATGTTTCTTTCGTATCGATCTTGACACCAAAACACTATTTTCTAGTTGACACTTTGACAGTTGACATGACAGCACCATACCAAAGGGTAAAGTAATATAATGGAAATATAAGTACCTTAGACCATAGGAAAATAGGTACAATTGATGTGCAAATTGAGGTTTAAAATTAGCAATTCTTTGACTATTTATAGTTTATAGTAATCTGTGATTTAATCCATTATTTACATAACACTACCAAAGAGGTATAATGGGTAAATAAGTGTTGACGTTTTTTTTTATAAATAAAAGATATTTCATTGTTATCGTTGTGGTCGACGTGTCGTTTAATACCCAAACAATCGCCCAAGCCTTAAATGATGGATTCGGCTTACAATAATCCTATAAGGCAACGAATTAATAAAATTTTTGATAGTCATATACTATCTGATAATACAGATGCATTGCATTCTGTGTCTGGATTTTGTTCATCAAACTCAGCATACACCAGGCGAGTTATCGTAAATGAAATTGAAAAAAAGGATATGTTGGTAAATAAAACTGTTCTTACAGAGTATAATAAGGTAAAAGACAAGCTGCAAGTGTTACTTGATTCCCTATCGTCTTTAGATGTCGCAGTCAAAGATATGTCAAGGAGATTATCTGATTCGAAAAATAAGACCCACCATCTTATAACTCAAACAACTAAGCTCAAAGACGAAAGAAAAAAAACTGAAAAGAAACAAGCATGGGTTGAAGCATTTGTCAAAGAATTCCAGTTATCACCAGAACAAAATGAGTATTTATACAATGTTTCAGTCAAAACTCCTCTAACACATGACTTCTTTGGAACATTATCTCATATAGAGAAATTGTATAGTAACTGCAAAACACTTATAAAATGTTGGCATCAGACCTCTGCATTTGACATTATGGAGACAGTGGGATTACAACAAGAAGTTGCTATAGAAAAATTGTATCATTGGACTATTGGAGCCTGCCTAAGTACAGACTCGCCAAATAATGCTTTAGTGCCTACTGCTTTAGCAAAATTTCAGAACAGACAAGTTTTATTTTCTAATATCATTGATGAGTATAGTTCTGCCCGTAAAGCAACAATAGTTCAAATGTTTATTGATGCCTTAACTAAGGGTACAGATGGTTCAAAACCAATCGAATTTTACGCAAACGATGCAAAACGGTATATTGGAGATATATTGACTTGGGTGTACCAAGTAATACCAATAGAGAAAGAAAATCTTGCTACTTTATTTAAATTCTGCAATATGCCTGAAAAAAGTCAACTCATCATAGATGCTCTAACCAATATTATGGAAGCTCTGTGTCCTCTACTTAAAGTCAGAGCAGAACTGATATTAAAACCTGATAAAGATCCTCTGGTGTTGTGGTCTATAACAAATTTAATTATTTACTATAAAGATATAATACAGGCTGTTATATCTAATGGTCACTTGATAAACACTTTTGAAGAACTCCTGAAAAAAAGTGAAGAAGTTTTTGTTATAACTTTGGATAGTAAAATTCAGAAGGAACTTAGCCATGGAGTTAAAGCTCCTCCAGTTGACTTAAACCCTTCTATAGTGGTGACAGATTTGGTCAGTTTCCTTCGTGATTTGTTAGCCATAATGAATGTGTCACATAATATAAATACTGCAGACAGGAAACTGATTATTACACACATATTAGATCCATTACTACATGCTATAAATGAAACTGCTTGCCATTTAAGTTCCACAGACATGTCAGTATATTTATTGAATTGTATCTATCACATACAGTGTACCTTATCTCTTTACACAGTAATGGATGAGTATAATGAAAGATTACAAGCTCAGTCTGAAGCCCAAATAGACACTTTAACTTCTGAACAAGCCAGTTACCTGGTTGCTAATTTAAATTTGGGTCCTATTTACACTATTCTCCAAGAAAAAATAAGTGGTCCTTTATCAGCAATACCTGGAATGGATACATCAACATTAAAAACATTTCTAAACAAATTTGATATGTTTTTATTGTCACCTGAGGTGTACATGTTGCCACAACTGAATTTGCTTTTGAGTCATACTCACAAGTCATTAGTAAAAAAACGAGCATACGAAGTTATATTTGCTATTTACACTCAATTATATCAAGCAGTTCATGATCCGTCGAATGGATATGCTGAACCACATACTATTGTACGCAGAAAGCCAGAAGAGGTCAACAAGCTACTTGTGTAAAAATATTCTTTTTTATAATTTATATTATATTTGTAATGAAATGTAGAAGACATTTAAGTAAATATAAAATTTAATTTTAAACCATTTTTTATTTCGTTTTGATCCCTCAATGATTTGTTAAAAGACTTCCAAAAAGGAGGCAGGTTCTTAACTCGACCTTATTTTTGTATTATCTATACTAACATTAAAAAGAGGTAAAATTAGTTTGTATGTAGGAAGTAATCTTTGGATTCACTGGTTGGATTCCCAAACTTCTTTCACTTATTGATAGCTACAATGTTCCCGAGTGCTATAGGATGTAAAACATCACGCTACAATCAAATGGAGCTGAGCAGCAAGTGAAACCGCGCAGGAGCAGCTAGTGTTACACAAAGACAGACTCCGTATTTCAAAAGGATTTATTTTTATCAATAATAATGTATCACTTTCACATGAAGGTAGTTGGGGAAATAGCATGTTTAAGAAAATTCAAAACATTTTTAATCTAGGTATACTAATATTATAAAGAAGAAAACTTTGTTTGTTTGGTTGTAATGAATAGGCTCAAAAACTACAGAACCGATTTCAAAAATGCATTCACTATTCAAAAGCTACATTATTCACGTGTAACTAACATAGTCTTAATTTTATTTCGGATTAAATAGGGTTTCATAAGGTATTTATGCGGTGTCGTGGTGGCCCGGAGGTTAAGGAGCCCGCTTCTCATGCATGAGGTTGTGGGTTCGAAACCTGGCAAGTACCAATGTGACTTTTTCCGACTTATATGTACTTTCTATGATTATTCAGACACCACTGACATACGGTGAAGGTAAACATCATGAGGAAACCTGGACTTATAATTTCTAATTATAAGTTTGAAATCGCCAACCCGCATTGAGCAAGCGTGGTGATTAACGCTCTAACCTTCTCCGTATGAGAAGAGGCCTTTGCTCAGCAGTGGGCATTTATAGGCTGATGATGATGATGAAGGTATTTATATGCTTTTCGGACACAAGGTGTAAAAAAATGAATCAGGAAAGTTGCTTTGCGAACGCTGCCTGAACTATAAAAGATTGAACCATAAAATGTCCTAATTCATTGTAGGTCTTATAAATATCTACAAAAAAGTTCGCGACGCACTATACCTATCTATGTCGAGTAAGGCACACACAACAACCATTTTTTTATTAAAAAATCGCGATTTTTTTTGTGCTAATTACTTTTAAACCAATGATATTACTTACTTATATATTAATATCATTGTTTTAAACGCATTTATTTTACTCTTGCTATTAATCTTTATCAAAATAAACATCACTGTGTACAGCAAGTAGATAATACTTGGTCTTTGAATGATTAAAATGGGACGTTCTTTTTGAAGTTGTGGCGAAATTAATATCAAGGCGCGTGGCTTGCGGGTGTTGGACTATAGTAGTCCAGTCATTTTAGGCATTTTATACCCCAATCTGGGGAAAAATTCCTAGTGAGCTGTATTTTTGTATACACCTTTATTACGGCGTTATTATGAAGTTGTGAAAAATCGACATCGATAGGTATCGTGTCGGCTAAAAAAATTACAGAGGTCAAAAGGTCACGTAAATCAGTTTTTTAATAAATATTTCGCGACCTATTGCTCGCACGTCAATAGAAAATTCATTGCAAAAATTGTTCCTCATAAAATTATCTACAAAAAATGTCTCATATAGTTTTTCTGTAAAATTAACGGTTTTCGGATCATAGCGCTGAGAAAGCGGCAAGAATGCACTCACATACGGTATTGTATACCGTACACCAAGGCGTGAACTCTATTGCTTTTTAGTAACGTTTGTAAATGTCTCTAAATCTTTTATTTTACCTACATTTAGATGTTGCCAAAAAGATATATTTATCGTATAGGGGTTTAGGCTTTTAAGAAGACGTACTATGACACGATCTGTAGTAATATATATTTTAGCATATAAATATTTAT